AGAACATTTTAATAAACCTCTTAAATCGTAATGCCTAAAAAAACTACCAAACTTCTTGAATACGAAAATATTCAGTGCATTTTCATGAATATTGAACACTGACCAGTTATTGCTGACATTATTGCCGTAACCAGAGATATAAATTTACCTGGGCAAGAAATGACAATGAGCTAGCTGGGGGCGCTGTAAGCTCCCCGAGAAAAATTTGAAATTGTAGCCATCATGCAAGGAATTAAGTTTGCACTAAAAACAAATAAAATAAAAATCCCTCAGAAAAAAAACTACCGGGGGCAGTTGCCCCATAGCTGGTTACGGCCATGTAATCGGAATGTGGATATTTCTCGTATAAATAATGCAGTCAACAGGTGGCTGCTGAGTGATAGAATTATACCTACCAGTACAAAGTAGTGAAAAAAATTGACAAAGTTTGTTTGTTGAACTTACAAAGCTAATTAAGGCCATCCTTAATTTAGAAGTGATAAATTAAAGGGAAGGCAGCTGGTCAAGACTATCCACCGTCAACTTTTGGGCTACCCTAATAGAATAGTGTGATTGACTGTAACATTATAACATCTTCACAACTGAAAGGGTGAACATGTTTAATTATTGGATTCGAACCAACGAGTCGAGTGTCCTAACTACCAGGTCCCAAATTTGTTTGTTTTAGCACAAATTCAAACACTAGGCTGTCTGTGCATTGTCCAATGTGAGGAACTGAGCCCCAGATTTCAACATTGTAATTAAAGTTTCGTGCTGACCTACCAGGGGACTATAACAAAGGATGTGATCAAATCAATAACTGTAAGATGAAAGTTTCTGACATAAACCAAAAAGTTAAACGAATATTTATGAAATAGTCCCACAAGAGAAGTGGTGGATAAACAGGAGAAAGTTAAGAAGGAGAGGTGATGATAAAAGATGAAAATGAGGAAATAAAAGTCACGGTTTTAAGACAGGAGAAAGTTAAGAAGGAGAGGTGATGATAAAAGATGAAAATGAGGAAGCACGGTTTTAAGACAGGAGAAAGTTAAGAAGGAAAGGTGATGATAAAAGATGAAAATGAGGAAATAAAATCACGATTTTAAGATAGGAGAAAGTTAAGAAGGAGAGGTGATGATAAAAGATGAAAATGAGGAAGCACGGTTTTAAGATAGGGGAAAGTTAAGAAGGAGAGGTGATGATAAAAGATGAAAATGAGGAAGCACGGTTTTAAGATAGGGGAAAGTTAAGAAGGAGAGGT